TTGGCCTGGAGGGGCGGGGACAATGATAGGCCCAGCCCCCCCCCCCCCAGATCGCTGGCCCTTTGAGAGAATTAGCCTCTGGCTCCCAGCAGCAAAGATGTGCTGGCTTCTGCAGGGGTGGTGGGGCACGTGCTGCAGCGAGGTGGGGGCTCTGTGGGATGGAGGAGAGAGGTAGGGTAGCCCAGTGTGGCGATGCAGTGGTCCCGGTTGCGCAGGCATGGGGGAGGGGGCTGCAGGCCGGGGGGCAGTGCACTTCCTACCCTGTGCCCTAGCACCTGGAGTCTGCGCGGAGGTCCCAGGGCCTCCTGTCTCCTCCCCTGGACTCTCTTGCTCCCTGGGCTGCCCAGGACTGCCTGTAGCAGATCATGTGGCCAGCAGCTGGAAGTTCATCCTGGAGTCTGACTGAAATACCTCCTGCTGCAGTCAGCCTAGGGCAGGCAGAGCGGCTGGGCAGGTTCTGTTCCCCTCCTGCCTTGGCCCTTGGGGAATGCCTCAGGGAACAGCGAGTTCTGTGAATGGAGACTGGGAAGACGCTGAGAGGCAGGCCCCTGCTCCAGACGCCTTCCCAGCTTTGCCTCTCTGCTCAGGCGACAGCAGACATAGGGGCCCAGAAGGTTCAGCTGAACACAGGGCCCCAGGGGACATGGGCTGTATCCAGGGAAGCCAAAAGGAGTCCTGGCCACATCTTCTAGATGTGCAGCCCACAGGGAAAGCAGGAAGGGGCCAGACTGTGACCACAAGGACTGAGGGCTAAGACCACCTCTGCCTGGCCCACTCAGGACAGTGGGCAGGAGAAGCCCTGGGCTGTCCCAGGTGTGGGGGGGGGGGGCAATGAGAAGTAGAAGGCTTCAGCTGACCCCCCATGTGTCACAAGGGAACAGTGGCCTGTAGAAGGCCTGGGCTGTCCCAGTTATGTAATGGGGGACACTGCCCAGTAGAAGCCCTGGGCTGTACCATGTAATAGAGGGGTCAGTGACTAGTGGAAACCCTAGGCTGTCCCTGAGTGTCTAACGGGGGGACAGTAACCTATAGCACCCTGAGCTGTTCCTGCACATAAGAAGGCCTGCAGATCAGTGGGGCAGAAGAAGCCAGGGAGGGAACCGTGGAAAGTGGACATTAGCAGGTCCTGTGCTTTCAAGGTCCCACGTGCTCAGCATTCTAACCCGGGCTCCAGCCTGCTCCCCACTCCCAGGAACCGAAGGTAGCAAGCCCCTTCCCCACTGTGTCCCAGGCGGGCGGGCTCTTCTTGGCTTCCCACTGGCCACACCTGGGACAGAGTGGATGCCAGCTTGGGTCCTGCCCCCACATAGCCCGGGGCGCTGAGAGGGGTACAGAGGCGAAGGCATTTGGGGGACATGAAGAGAGTGGATGAGGGGAGGTGCCTGGCATGAGCGCTGGCCCTCACCTCCCCAGGTCGGCACCCCTCACCCTGCCTCAGTGCCCCCTTCCTGCCTCCAGAGACGCCTGGGGCATGCTGAGGGGCATGTCAGCACCTGGGTCCCCTCCACTGCTGGCCCTTTACCAGGGGGAGGGTGCAGACAGTGAAGAGATCGGCTGCTCGCCAGAAGGTGGGAAGTTCGAGTCCACCAGAGTTGCCTGGGAAGAAAGGCCTGGCAATCTACTTCCATAAGATCAGCCATTGTAACCCTGTGGGGCCCACCTCTACTCTGATACACACGGGGTCGCCGTGAATCAGGATCTACTCCATGGCAACTGGGTTGGTTTTTTTACCCTTGTGTGCCAGGCACGCTGCAGGGTGCCAGCAAGAAGTGGCACCGCGGCAAGGATGCATCCTTGGAGTTTGGGGTGCGCCCCGGGACTCAGGCGGTGACCAGTTGTGTGTGTGCTCAGGGCCGTGAACGTGCCTTGTGGAGGCCCCAGCACGGGGAGCTGAGGTGTGAGGAGGGTGGAGCTGGCACCGGGGTGGGAGGTCCTGGATGTGCCAGTGTGCAGGCGAGTGTATGTGCATGTTCCGGTGTGGGGCCCGTGCCCACACGTATGTGCACACATTTCCATGTGAGTAGTTACACATGGGGCCAGAATGTGGGAAGGAGGTGCTCCCCAGGCTCTCGTGCACGGAGTCAGTGCCTACCAGGGCAATGTTCCAGCTCCATGCAGGCACTAGCCAGGCTCCACCGTGTGGGACCTCCCGGGCGCAGCCCCTGTGGCCTCCAGGCAGCACCCGGGGTGGGGGGGGGCCGAGGCCCCACCTTGGCTGGGAGGGGCCTCCTGCCTTTGGAGCCTCTGCCCCCAGGTTCAAAGTCCTTTGATAAGGGCAGATAGAGCTAACCTGGGGAGCCCCGCCCTCCCTCCCTCCCTACCCACACCCAGACCCCCCCGCTCTGTTCCAGGGAAGCGGGGAGAGCCTGGTTTGGGGTGGTCTGGGTACAAGGTCCTTGAGAACGCAGGCTCAAGGCCTACCTGTACCTACCTTCCCCTGCTCCCAGCGGGCTCCCTCTAGCCCCGTTGCTGGTGGGCAAGAGGCTGGCCTCTGTCCTGGCCCCCAGCCCAGCTCTGGGTCCTGCCCCATAGCGTGTGGACACGGGGACAGTTGAGGGATGCTCCCCCAGGAGCTCGCTGTCCAAGGAGGCCCCGAGGGTGAAGACGGGTCCTTGGAAAGGCTTCCTGCAGGGGGAAAGACAGCGGGGGCCAGACCAGGAAAGGACACTTGAGCTTGAGCAGGGTGGGTGCTGGGATCCTGCCAGGTTTCCTGCCCACCAGGCCCTGGCGAGGGTCCAGGCGGTCCCAGCTCCAGGGACCTGCTAGGGTGTGGACCGGAGCGAGGGGGCGGGGCCTCGTCCATCTGCAGACCAGCCTGCTCAGCGGCTGCTGAGGCAGGAGCAGCGGTTGCCTGGCACCTCTGCTGTTGCCATGGCGACGGCGAGGTGCTAACTTGCTAATGAGTCCCCGTCGGCTGCAAATAACAATAGTATGGTGGTTAATAGGGCCGAGCTGGGAGGATTCCTTGGGAGACGGGCCTGGCCAGGTACCAGGCGGGAAGGCCCATCTGCCCACCCCTCAGCCACTGCCTGCTGCCCGCAGCCCGGCTGGCCCTTGCCGGCAGGGACCACCATGGCAGGCGGGGACCCCCGCGGCAGGCAGGGACCCCCGCGACAGGCAGGGACCCCCTCGCAGGCAGGGCCCCCCCCCTGCGGCAGGCAGGGACCACCACGGCAGGCAGCCCCTTTTGCTGGTGAACTTGTTTGGCGTGGCCCAGCCATTCCCTAGGCCTGGTCCCCACAGGGGAGGAGGCCCCGAGGAGGCCTGGGGGAGGGGTCTGTGCATGGGACCCCATGTCCCCGCTGCTGACCAGGTACCTGACCATCCAGATCCTGGGGCAGCGCCATGGTGTCAGACGTCACAGCCTCCAGTCTGCCCATCCAGAGGGGCCTCAGGGCCGAAGGGGGGGTGGTGGGAGGGGGACACAGCTGTGCCTCAGGCAGGGGGGCCAGGCGGGGGCTGAGCCCCAAGAGGCTGAAGAAAGGAGGGTGTGGAGGGTGGGGGGTGAGACTCTGGGGCCAGCCCATTGTATTCGGGGGCTTGGCCAGATGGGTGCACGGCCCATACCTGCCTGGCACTTGCTGTTCTGTGGCCCCCTGCCACCCCTACCTCCTCTGCTGTGACTCGGGGCCCCGAGAGTTGTTACATGAAGAGGGTGATGGATGTGAAGTGTCCAGCCTGGAAGTCACCCAAGGGGGTGGTCCAGAAATGGTGGCAGCTGTCACCATTGTCACTGGGGTCACTGTACCGTGATGTGACAAGTGTCTTTACAGAGCCACCCTGGCTCCCTCTGTAGCTGAGAGTTGGGGGCCTCTGCCCACCATAGTCCCCTCTCTGTGGGCCCTGGGGGTCCATCTGTCTCCCAGCCTCCCCGACCCTGAGCTGGGGGGTGGGAGAAGACCCTGACTGGAAGGCAGCTGTGAGGGGTCCTCTGGGGAGGGGGCCTCCAGGGGAGCTGGGGGTCCTGGTTCGCTGCAGCCTCTTTATGTGTGACCTTGCACTGGTCTCCCCCCACCCTGAGCCTCAGTTTCCCCATATGTAAAGCAAACTCAATATCCTGACAGTGCTTGCCTCCTGGGGGGATGGTGAGGCTTGGGTGGGGCTAGAAGAGGGCCAATCCTGGCTGGTGGCAGGAGGCTGACAGGGTAGGGGAGGGCAGAGGCTGGCCACCAAGTACACAGGAGGGGGCTCCACCCCACAGGTCTGGAGTCCACAGATCCCCCAGCACCTGGCCGCCTCCTCCCTCCACACACCTCTCAGCCCAAGACTGAGAGGCCAGTCTCAGGAGCCCCCTAACTTGTTGAGATAGCTGGCCCCCACCATCCACTGGGGTCCAGGATTAGGGGCTTGGAGAGCTGCCACAGACTGGGCTGTGCGAGGCTGGGGGGACTAGGGAAGGGTTGGGGGGTCTGACGGCTCAGAGCTGAGAGGAGGCTTGGCCAGGGTCCTGGGAGCTGGAAGACGAGGTCAGAGGGATGGGGTCTGTACCCCAAGGGGGGGTGCAGAAGCTGTAGAGGGCGGCATGCTCCGGGGTGCGTGGGGGCCCAGAAGAAGGATTCCAGCCTGGTCCTGCCCGGCCGGGTCGGCACAGGGTGAGAACTCTGGAGTCCCGAGACCCATCCCTGTCCGGTCCCCCAGCCCCTCTGCACCACTTCCTGCTGAGGAGGCCGGCATGGTGGCCTGCACGGGCCAGGATGGACGAGCTCTCCCTCAGGGCTCCTAGTTTCACGGGTGGCAGAGTCTGACTCCCCTGAGCGGTTGGTGGGGTTTGATCCTCATGGAGAAGCCAGAGGGGACAGCCCCCATGGGGACAGGCCCTGGGGCCCCACCACCAGCTCCTCTGAGGCATGGGTCCTGCCTAGGTGCCAGCCCCACTGACCACCATGTCTCTCCACAGCTCTGGCGCCATGCCCGGCCACTCGGAACTCTAGGCCAGACCCCGGTCCGTTGGACAGCCCCTCCTCGCTTCAGGGGTCCCTCCCTCCCGCCCACTGCCCACCATGGCTGGGGACCGGCTCCCACGGAAGGTGATGGACGCCAAGAAGCTGGCTAGCCTGCTGCGGGGCGGGCCTGGGGGGCCGCTGGTCATCGACAGCCGCTCCTTCGTGGAGTACAACAGCTGGCACGTGCTCAGCTCCGTCAACATCTGCTGCTCCAAGCTGGTGAAGCGCAGGCTGCAACAGGGCAAGGTCACCATCGCTGAGCTTGTCCAGCCGGCCTTACGGAGCCAGGTACCAGCCATGCAGGCAGGCTGCTCCCACCCTGGGGCTCCTACCTCCTCCAGGGCTCCCCACCACCTACATGAGCCCCCCACTGCCTCCTGGGGCTCCCTACCACCTCTATGGGCCCACCACCACCTCCAGGGGCTCCCCGCCACCTCTAGGGGCTCCTCAGCTGGCTGCCTGAGCCCTTGGATCAGCCAGCTCCCCCCACCTGTCCCTCATACCCAAACTGGGCTCCTGCAGTTAGCACTCTCCAAGAGGCCGCTGTTGGCCACCGCGTCCCTGCCCGGTGCTGACCTCTCGGAACTGCACAGACACCCCCCCACCCCCGAGGACAACACCGTCTCCCAGGCTCGTCACCTTCCGTCTGATCCAGAGCCCTGGCCCCGTCAGGGTTCCTACTCAGCGCTCGAGGGGTCCTGGGCTTGCATGTTGGTGTCCCCCATTCTCAGGCCCAGCACGGAGGACAGAGTGAAGGGGTGTACGAGGCGTGGGTGCACACACAGGGCATGGGCTGCAGTCAGGGTCCCTGGACAGCCTGGGCGCACGCAGGGGATGGGACTGCTGGGTCTGGACAACTCAGAGGGAACAATGTAGGGTAGCCGAGGGGCTCAAATGGAGCAGTCACGTCCCCAGCCCCCCAATTCTCACAACTGCCCACCCCGTGGGGTCCCCTTTCCCATCTGGAGTCTTCAGTGGCCCAGAATTCTCTCTGCGGCCTCCAGGAAAGTCGGGGTCACCAGCATCGGACTAACCTGTCTCCATCCCCTCCTCTGGGAGGGATGCCTCGCTCCTCGCCAGGAACACGAAGTCCTGCTTCTGGGGAGGGACCTCTGGGCCAGTGGACCGGGAGGGCAGCGGCCCCTCCTCCCCTACTGCCTCCTGGGGCTCAGGACCTCCATCCCTGTGGCCTGGGGGGGATGATGTACCTGCGAGGCTGTGGGGAGGGTCACCCAGCACAGAGCCGAGGTGGGAGAGGACCCAGGTGGGGCAGCCTTGTTGGGAGCCCCCACCCCAGGCAGCCGGCTCCCCAAGGTCTGGTGTGGGGAATCCGTCCATTGATTAATCACCCAGCGAGGACGCGGCCAGAGCGCGATCCCATTGGCTGCCGGTGACATCATCGGTGGCTGGCAGCTCAGCTGGCTCCGGGCCGCGTGTGCTGGGGGCGGGGACATCGCCCTCTAGAGCAAAAGTTGCTCAGCATCTGCCCCCCCCTGCCCCCCGGCGGCCCACCCGGCAATGCGAGAGGGGTAGGAGGAGCCCAGCTTCCTGCGCTGCTTCCTAAGTGTTGGGGGGGTCCTCAGTGCAGCCCTCAGTTTACCCCTCGCCGGTGGGGAGGGGAGCGGTGGGAGAGGAGGAGAGGCGTGCTGCCTCAGCGGGGAGCTCCGCTGAGACCCCCAACTCAAAGGTACCCTTTCTTCAAAACCCTGAAATAGTCCTCCCAGGGACCCTGTGGGCGGGCTTCCCCTGGCTTCAGCCCCCAGGGGAGCCAGCCCTGCCCAGCCGGTGCTCCGGCCCCTCCCTCCACGTGCGTGCCTCCTGGCAGACCCCGGATTCCCTCCCCTGCGTCTCCTCGGCACCGCCCATCACCATTCCCTTCACCACAAGAGTTTCCCTTCCGGCCCCAGTGGCCTGCTTCCGCGTGACGGTGGTGCTGGCAGCGGGGCCCTGGGCATTGCCACTGGGCCAGGTGTGGGGGGACAGGTCAGGTGTGTGGCTAGTGCCCACTCTGCCCCCCCCCCGGACACACACACACAGCAAGGTGACAGCAGCTCCTCCCTCGGGCCGGTGGCAGTGGGCGGCAGAAGGCAGCAGGGCTGCGCTGACCTCTGCCCTCACGGCCCAGGTGGAGGCCGCGGAGCCCCAGGACGTGGTGGTCTATGACCAGAGCACACGGGACGCCAGCGTGCTGGCCGCAGACAGCTTCCTCTCCCTCCTGCTGAGCAAGCTGGACGGCTGCTTCGACAGCGTGGCCATCCTCACGGGTGAGTCCGCCCACCCCTCCCTGGTCCCCCTGCTGCCTCGACAGCGTGGCCATCCTCAGGGGTGAGTCCGCCCACCCCTCC